TGGTTTTTTGGCTTTCTGCATTACTTTTTTGCATTTCCAAAGGGTCTTGCACGGTTTGTTTGCTTTTCTTCCCCCCTCTCCTTCGGCCGGAATGAATTAATGCGTTTCTGATGGATCTTGCAGGGTTTTTTTTTGTTTGTTTTGCTGTTGTTGTTGTTTTTGGTGATTTTTTTTCCTTTGGGTTGTGTTTTTTTTGGTGATTTTTTTTTCCCTTTGGCCACAACCGATTAATTGCATTTCAATGCATTCCTATGGGAAATGGTGCTTCGACTTACTACCATTTTGAGTTACAACCGGAGTTCCAGAACCAATTAAGTTCATAACTCAAGGCAACACTGTATTACTATTACTCCTTCATTTTGAGAGCAGTCTTGGGAAAGATTTTCAAGGGTGGACATAAAAAGCCTTAAGAGTACTTAAAAAACCTGCAGCTTGATTGAACTGAGAGACCAACGAATTATACCCATCCTGTCAAATACTCCATGAACACCCTCCACACACATACACACTCATGCTCGATTCTTCTGCACTGAAAAGAATCTCAGCAAAATTTATGGAAGCAAAAATCCTGAAATTGAATACTGTACTGTTCATTCCAATTATGTCTTTTATTTTCTGCTACATTTTGCCCTTTAAAAAAATAGTGTTTTAAAACTTGCTCTGAAATGTGTGTGTGTGTGTCAAACATGAAGCCCCCGGGGGGGGGGAATGAGATAAAAGAAAGCCACATTACCATGCCAGCTTTCAATAAACAGTGACTTCGTCGTCAGCCATTTGAAGCATTTTATCCAATAAACTTGTAAGAAATAGAAAACAAAACAGGCCTTTCTCAGGGCTGTGGTTTTTGAAGAATGATTTACAGTAGTTGCTTTTCTTTCTCACTCTCTTTTTGACGTGGCACCAAAACTGGAGTTCATTCAAATACAGAGGCATTACCAGCCTTCGTGACAGCGCTTGGTTGGAAAAAAGAAAGATGCAGAAATATAAGAGGCCTTTTAATCCTATGGAAAAAGCCTTCCTGGGGAAAATGAACGCCTCTGTCGCGGCCGCCCAGGTGAGAAGCATCAGAGCGCGAAGGAAAGATCGCCCCCTTCCGTTCGGAAGAGGCTACAGCCGACCCAACCGACTTAACCCTCTCGCCGCCAAGACAAAAACAAGAACGCGTACACCGATGGCTAATATAAATCGAACGTGGGGAGGGGGAGTCAGGACACAGATGGGTGTAAACTGTGTACAGTAATCCGGATTCACATTTATATCCCCTCCAATTTTTTTACGAAGTTAAGGGACCAGACGTTTAGAACCAAATTAGAAGTCGCCCAGAGAGTCACGCCACGGCCCGCTTGCCCGAAGTTTGGACTCGAGTTTTAAACCAGGAGAATCCGCCGCTGTAAACAGGTTCAGAAAGGGCATTTCACTGTAATCCTGAGCACAGATAAGAAATCGAGTCCTCGATTCCCCCCCCCCCCTTTGGCTGAAGAAATAGGGTTAGACGTTTCTGTTTTTAGTCTCTTTCTCTCTCACCCACAGGTGCTTCCATATTAAAAACCTAAGTGTCACTCAAGGCAAGCGCAGCGGATGGTGGAGGGAAAATAACGCAAGAAAGGAGAGGAGCCTACGCCTATACGCCCCAAAACAAGAAAACAAGTTACCTGGAGTGAGAAATAATCCGCTATGGAAACGCTCCCGGTAGCCGAAGAATGAAGTCAGAAGGTAAACCGACAATACCAGGAGAGAGAAAGACTAAAATCAGAGGCGACAACCTCGCCTCCTTTCCTTTCCTGTCCCACCTCTGCGCGTCCTCCTGGTTCTCCGACCAGGAAGCCGCCTGAAATATCTCGGGAAAGGGTGTGTAGTCACTGCCTTGTACATACTTTCTTTTATTTCATTTTTTCTGAGTCAGGCTATTTCCTGTTTCAACAGTAGGCAAGACGGGCGGGGGGGGGCGAAGGGAGGGAGGACGTACACACGCGCGCCCGCCCGCCCCGGAGGCGGTGTTTCATCGAGGGCAGCGCGATCAGGTTACACGCCGAGCAGGTGAACGGTGGGAGGAAAGTGAGGGTGCTGCTGCGTTGAGAGGAAGGGAGCAATCCTTCGAAAGCAGGAGGGCGGGAAATACAGAGAGAGAGCGCGGCGAGGAGACAGAGAGAGAAGAGGGGGCCAAATAGACACGCGCACGCACGCACACACACACCTGTCCGCTGCAACAGAGAAACGCTAACAACGCCGGTTCATCCTTCGACGGCACGGGTTGGAAATCTTTTCCATACCGGCCGCTCTAGAAAGGGTTTCTCCAGTCAGATGCTCTCCAGAGGTGCCCGACTACAGGTCCCAGCTGTCACTAGGGATTCACGGGGCTGTAGTCCCACCCAGCCAGGAAGGGGTGGGGAAAGCACCCACAGTTCAGTGTGCGGTAGTCAACTTTCTTTTCAAAGGGCCGAGGAAACATTGAAGACGAAGGGCGACTCTCTGTGGTGCCCGCTGTCTTGATCGTACGGGCCACGCTCGCCCAGGGGTCTTACATGCACCCTTTCCTCCCAGATTGTGCATGCCCGCTGCTTTCCATCTCTAGGGAGAGACTCTGGCGGCCGCCTTTTGGGATCGCGGTTGTGCAGCCGTCGAGCGGGAGCAAAGTCCGCACCTGTGACCCCGACCGGCAGCCCTGGACGGGGAGGCAACTGTTTGCTCGATTCTTTCCCGCCCTTTCCTCGCTCAAGCCACCCTCACGGGCGACTGGAACAGGAAATACCGGCTCAAAGCCTCGGTGGAGGAGGGGAAGTCGGATGCGACCGTCAAAGTTTAGTCATTGCCCCGGATCTATTATTTATTGTTCGGCCCTGGAGCGAGCGCCAACCCCCGCCCTTGACGCGCTGCCCTGGGAAACTGCTCCAGGGGCCCGATCCGGCCACCTTCGGTGTATGTGCTTCTGCTGTTTACTGTCTGTTTAGAGCTCATCTGTGCTGTTGAATTAAACTGAGAACTGGTTGAGATTTTTAGAAATTGATTTGGCTTCACCTTGTTTTTTTAAGAACTGGTTGAGATTTTAGAAATTGATTTGACTTCACCTTGTTTTTTGTGTCTGTCTGTGTGTATCTTCATGGAACAACTTTTGCTCCACTTGTAAGCTATGTGGTACAGTATATTGGCACTTTGATACTCTGGGTCTTAGTTTTCCCTCTTCACCTCAGCCATACCTCCTGCCTGCCTTGAGGCAGAACTTGCCTGCCTTCAGGCTTGGCAGCTTTTATTCAGCAAAGCCGGCATCAGCAGCCTACACCACAGCCCACAACTAGCCTTAGCCCCTGTCCAGACTGACGGATTTGGGTGTGGGGTGAATTGGGCTACAAAGGGTCTGTTGAGGTCAAGGAGGGAGGTGCGATGTGCCATTTGATGTGCTGCTCCCATCCGAACAGCAAATGACTGCTTGTAGCCCAATCAGATGTCAATTAAATGCTTCTTCGATTGATTTTGAGGGGAATTTGATTTTTTCCCCCTGTGTCCCTCTGTCAGTGCTTCTTTCAGCCTCTGATAAAACCAAGCATCTTAGGTAACCGAGGGCATGAAGGAATGGGAGCCATCAAAAGGAAAGCAGTAACAACACCAGGGGTGGAGGCTGTGTGTATATGTGTGTGTGTGTAGGGGGGGGTCCTGAGCATCAGCATTAATTTATTTGAGAAAGTGTACCTGTCTCTCTTGCCACATTTCTCTGGCCATCCCTGCCAGTGCTGAGGAGAAAAAGATGCACTGTGTCCTACTGATGAAACTCACTCTTTGCAGGACCAAGCTGCGCAGCACCTCTTTCAAAGAGAGAGAGAGAGAGAGACCACAAAAGGCAGCAGCAAGATTGAAGAAAAATAAAAGTTTATCTCAAACTCTCTCTTGGAATCTGCAGCTACTGGAGGCTGCTATCTCCAGACATGCCAAAAAGAATACCTGCCTTACTGCTGGGCCAGAATGGTACGTGACTAGACATGGGCACTTTGTATTTGTTTCCCTGGGGAATTTAATATAAACTGCTGCATCACAGGTGCCACTGTGGTCCACTCCTGCCCACCCTGAACCAGCCAGGCCACTTACTGGGCTCTGCTCGGCACTCAGCTCCATCATCCTTATTGTTGCACCAATAATGGAAGCAGGCTGGCCAGCCCTTCCCTGCCTCCCCACACTGCCAACCACTGTGGTATGGAGGCAGGATGGGGAGTCTCCCTGGTCAGCTGATGAGCGGTTGGCTGCTTGAGGGGGCAGGGAAGGGCTGGCTGGATTGCTTCTACGATTGGCACAACAACAATGGAGCTGAGTGCTGTGTGGAGCCTGGGAAGTACCTGACCCAGTTTGGGGGGGGGTAGGATTGGGTTCATCTTAATGTCCTCAAGAAAATGAATACAAGGTGCTCATGTCTGTACGTAACAGCTCTTAAAGGGGAAAGATTGATCATTCTAAGTAGAAATATATGTGGATGGGGCTTTCCCCCCAATCTAAACCATTCACTCAGCAATCCATATACCATCTCTATATGCCAGTGTGGACAGGCCCTAATATCTTTCCCCCCTGTTGTTTAAGAATCATTATGTCTGGTTTTTTAAAAAACTACTTCTCAACTGAAAAAAATGTGTGCTTAGCTTTGCATCATTTAGTTGGAGATATCAAACTTTCTTATGCAGCAGATAACACGGAAGCCAGTCATCAACAATAGCTATACTGTGACTACAATAACAGTATCCTTTAAAAGGTAAGCCCAGGAGAACAATCCTGTTTGAGTGGACCGGGAAGATACAGAATGAGGATTTTAGAAAGCCACATGACATTCATAGGCCAGCATTCTGACAGTGTGACCAAAGGAAGTATCCTTCATGGAGGAGTCACCCATAAGATAGAGGAGGCAGAGACTGATTTAAAATTTCCCAACTGTCTCCATTGGGCATGAGATCCAGGGGGACCAACCGGGAAGAGTGAAATTAATGCCTTAAAATTTATGCTATGTAAGCCCCCTTCCTTCCTCTTGCTGCTATAATAAGATTGAAATTTCCTCAGGAGAAACTTCCTCTAATTATATTTGTCCAGTGCTGAACACAATAGTCTTTGCCAAGGTTGCCTATAACACAGCTATACACCTTTTATCATTAGAAAGGTTTATCATCTGAAAAAAGTCAGCTTTACCTAATACAGTAAGGAATATGAAGGACTGAAGGGGGACAGTGGCAACGTAAATCCACCTATAGTTTTATTTCCAGTTAAAATATTTATACTTACTGTATAAATCTGAATCTACTAAGATGACTCAGTGTTAACTTCTAAGGAGAAACCAAACCAAACAAAATATATTCGCAAATATATCAAACAAAATCATTCAGAATATAAGTGGAATTCCCTGATCTCCTGTTGAATTGAAAACTACATATCAAACAATACATGTTGGCTAGGAAATAGGGCTTGGCAGTAGAAGCTCAAGTACAGTGGTGCCTCGCTGAAATAGGGCTTGGCAGTAGAAGCTCAAGTAACTAATTAGGCATATATATATGAGATTAATAACAGAGCTACCCACAAAACTGCAGCAGAATGTTGCTGTCTAAAATGCTCCTGTTCAAGGTTTCAGTCAGCAATGCCATGTCATATACTCCATTGCATCACCATGACCATTCTCAGTGTTGTTTCCCCCTCAACAGGAAATCAGCATGGCTACTGATAATGTTCAACCATAGCTGTTTTAGTTTTTTTTTTAACCCCGAAATACTTTTTGTATTTCTATTACAAACCATGAGAGTTTTCAAAGCCTGCTGCCTTTCTTTTGGGTGTATGTGGTACCATTTTCGCTAACTAAGGATTCACACCCAAAGAATGTACAGTATTCAGTATTACACTTGTCCAGTAAAGAAAAACAATTATTCCCTTTGTATTGAGAAAGGCTGTCATTTGGTAAATACATAGAAGAAGTGTTGGGTCTAAATGGAAATGGAAGTGGTAAGACCAGACTACAAAGCATAGGAACTAGATGGTTTTGACAGCTATATGAAAATATATTTCCTAAAGATCTATCAGTGCAAACCATTCTCACTCTTGAAGAAGAGGGAAAATGTAGTGTCACCATTCAGGAAGTCTGAATGAATCTGTAAAGGTTGAAAAGGTCAATAATGGGATGGAACCGCACAAAAGTATCAGCTTGGAAGATTCTGGCACTGGGCAGACAGATCACCCATATACTGTATATGATTGAAAGAGACTATAATGAAGATATTAAATGTCAGGCAAGTATGGACAGGATTACAATTCTGGCAAGGTCAGGAAAATACCTTTACAAAAGAAGAATCTCCTTTAGATCCTGAGTTTTATTTAAAGAACTGTCATCTCTTGCAAAACTTCTGATCATTGCAAACTGTATGTCTTGCTTAGGCATACATTTGATTAAGATTCACATTTCTTTTAATAGACAGATCCTATTCTATTTACTTTGTGCCAACTAGTGGATATTTTACCACAATTACTAGCAGAGAGACTATGGGTCAAAAGCCACTGCAATCATTTATTAACTTGACTCTTTCCAGAATAAGATTTATCTCCTGCCTTGCTACCATCAGTTTTGGAGAATGTTATGGCTATAAGGTGGGAAGTTTAAATGTGAGGTCAAATGTTCACAGGGAAAGATCATAAGATATTTTACAAAATAGAACTTCAGTACTATCACAACATGGATGCACTGTGATAGTGATGGCTACAAAACACCATAAGACTACAAGTCTAATGAGGAAAGGCTATTTGACCAAGGGCAGTTGCTGCCACTCCAGTTGGTTTATGGGAGCTGCTAACTATAATTCCAGTTTTATCTAGTTCAGTTTCAAAGTTGTATAGTATTTTTCATATGTCAGTAGCTGCAAGGAAATAACCAACAACAGCCATATGGAGCCCACCAGATGTTACAGAACTACAAATGACATCACCCTTACTCATCACAGCCCATGGTGAGGTAAGGTGTGAGTTACAGTCCTACAGCATCTGCAAGATCACAGTTTTCTCAGTCTTGATGTAACAACTTTTCTCCCTGTATCAATTCCCCTTGGTATTTTTAAAATCTGTGGGGGAAATATTTTTGTCCATCATAGGCATCCTTCAGTCTCGAGAGACTATGATAACGTGCTCTGACTTCCACACTGTATGCGAAGCTGGAGTGTCCCCTCCAGAGCACGAAGCCTGGGTAAAATAATATGGAGGCTAGGCTGTTACCCAAACAGCAAATCCCCCCTCTCCACATCACTGAAATAGTCCAATGGAAAGGCAAGAGCCAATACAACTGGTTGCAGCGATGTCGCAGGAGTTGCCAGAATGACGCGAACTGCCTCCAGGACTCCGGCTCCGGATTTTGCCTCCAGGTTTACTCCTGAAGCCTTTCCCATCAGTGGATATAGCCCCAAGGCAATGAAGGTTTGAAATGGGAGTTTTCCTTCTCCTAGATGGGCTGCCCTCCCCGGCTAACGAGTCCCACCTACCCAGGCTGCTCCTGTACAGCAGGGGTGCTCATTCCGTTGCGTGGATTCGATCTTACGACTGCCGGATCTTCTGACCCTGCAGCACAGGCTTCTGCGGTTTAGCCCACAGCGCCACCACGTCCCTTAAGGCAAGAGTCAATACAACTGGTTGCAGCGATGTCGCAGGAGTTGCCAGAATGACGCGAACTGCCTCCAGGACTCCGGTTCCGGATTTTGCCTCCAGGTTTACTCCTGAAGCCTTTCCCATCAGTGGATATAGCCCCAAGGCAATGAAGGTTTGAAATGGGAGTTTTCCTTCTCCTAGATGGGCTGCCTTCCCAAGCTGATGAGAACTGCTAGAAAAAAAGAGCCAGTGTACTGTAGTGAATAGAGTATGTATTGGATTGGGACTCAGGAGAGCTGAGTTCAAATCCCTCGCTCAGCTATGGGAACCCACTAGGGGATGGCACTGGTAAGATCTCCTGTAAACTCTCTCATACATCTTGGAAATCCTACAAGGGTTGCCATAAGTCAGAATCTGCTTGGCAGTGTATAACACAACACATTATATTAAATACCTATATTAATCACATCGTTATTTATTATTATTGAAACAAGGCTTTCTTGTAGTACTGAAAGTCTCACATGGTGTCAAGAATACCATCTGGAGCAAAGCTAGGGCTTGTTTGTTCATACACATATTTATAACTAATTAGTTCTGCTCTAGAGTGATTGGTTTGTTTACTGTAGGGGGGTGTATAGTTTCTGCTGTTAGCTCTTTAATGCTGTTATTAGCTAAGCTAAATTTATTTTAATGGAAAAGCAGGATATAAAGGAGAGAAAAAACAATAAATGACATGTACACAATCTGTGTACAATTTTTAATAAGACAATGCATTATATCCAGTGGTGGCTCTGTAGTAACACAACTCTGCATACACAGTGTAGTTTACTGAATTTATGTCTGCATTCTTTGTCCATTGTAGCCCCTCGGAACTTGCTTCTAAAAGGCTGGGTGGTCCTCTGGAATAACATGGGATGGCCATATTCTTCCATTACTCTTTCCTCTGTCCAGCTGTCCACACCAACTCTCAGAGACCAACAAGGTAAATAATCCAGCAGGTTGGTGGAGGGACCATAAAATTGCTATACTATTCCCTTCCTTCAGCAGAAAGCTTCTGCTGGATCCTGGTGCCTTCCCTGAATAGAGGGGGGCATTTAATTTGAGAAGAGCCATGTTTGGATCCAACTAATTGTGTTTGAATGATTTTACAAACAAGGAATGCTTTCAAGAATACAAGGAATGCTTTGCTATTTAATAAAGAAAAAGATATCTTTGCATCCTAAAATTTGGTTTTGCATTGAAATAATAAAATATATATTATCAGATGCTAATGGTTCCTTGCTAATTCAGTAATTACAAGAATAATGAAGACTCAAGGAATATTATTTGCATATCCCCAAATCATAAATGATTTCACTGATGCAGGTGTTTGAATGATTTTACAAACAAGGAATGCTTTCAAGAATACAAGGAATGCTTTGCTATTTAATAAAGAAAAAGATATCTTTGCATCCTAAAATTTGGTTTTGCATTGAAATAATAAAATATATATTATCAGATGCTAATGGTTCCTTGCTAATTCAGTAACTACAAGAATAATGAAGACTCAAGGAATATTATTTGCGTATCCCCAAATCATAAATGATTTCACTGATGCAGAGGTGGCATTCATCCATTTGGCTGCCAAGTCAAATGCAGATAAGGCATGTCTCCAGGTAAACTACCATCATTAAAATATTTTTCATTGTCATCATCTACAAGTCTTGAATAATACTCAAAATTAAGGTTGATTTAACAATTTGAGTTCAGTCTCTAGAAGTACAAACAAAGTCAGTCTGGAGAAGAACGGAATATTATTTGCGTATCCCCAAATCATAAATGATTTCACTGATGCAGAGGTGGCATTCATCCATTTGGCTGCCAAGCCAAATGCAGATAAGGCATGTCTCCAGATAAACTACCATCTTATTAAAATATTTTTCGTTGTCATCATCTAGAAGTCTTGAATAATACTCAAAATTAAGGTTGATTTAACAATTTGAGTTCAGTCTCTAGAAGTACAAACAAAGTCAGTCTGGAGAAGAACTCCCCTGAAAGACAGCATAGCAGAAGACCAACCCGGTACAAAAGACACCACCACTCATCATCCTTAACTCTTGTTCAGATTTTACAAGACAAACACAAATAAGAGGAACAGTATGTCATAAGAATTTTTTTTTCACATTTATATATAAAAAGTAACATTACCTTAACAATTGCAACTTCAATTTTAATTAACACATCCAAAATGGAAGCTGGTGGTGGAAGAAGGAAGACCAGTGAGTTAAAAGTCCAAAGTCTTTGACCTCTTTAAGACATATTGTCAAGCATGTTCTCTTCCAGTATATGCCAAAGTTGATAAGTCCAATGTGGTTTTTAATACAGCTGACAGCTCCTTCACTAATAGTTCATGAAGTGAGATGCCATCATGAGAATAAACCCATTTTTTTCCAGTCCAGTCATAGCATTTTGGACCACTGCGGAAGAACAAGAACATTATAAGAATGCAGTCAAAATACAAATTCTACAAAATATGGAGGAAGGTTATACATGCTGAAAAATTAAACCACCTGGATGTCCAATGTAACTGTGGCTAAAATGTGAGTGAACCACACAGTGAAAACAGGGTAGAAACAAGATACTTGAGAAATCTTTAATTTTATGGTTTATGTTCACCACCTTCCCAGAAACACAGACTGGCTGAATATAGTCAGTTATTCAAATCACGGTCTGCTAATTTATGAGTGAGTATCATGTTCAAACCACTCTCCTTTCTGCACATAGGTCTTACTCAGTATCTTAATGTTACATAATGAAATCTGTTGTTATCTCCAAACTGTCAGCTCATGATTTTAAAGAGTCTTCCAAACCAAACTACAAACAATGACTTGATCTTGCTCTACAAACATTCCACTCTCCTATTGTACCTTTAACTATTCTCTTGCTTTCCCACCTGGCTACTTGTGCTTGGAACTCTACAGGTGTGTTGGGATTATGAACCCCATAATCTCAGATATCATGGCCATAGTGTGTGTGAGATGGAATTTAAACTAGAACATCTGGAGAGTGTGAATTTCAGGAAGGCTATTTTAAACAATTTTCTCCACGCTTGTTTCAAATAATGAAGCCCAGTTGAGAGCAAACTGCTTAAAGTGAAGGAGTACAATTAGATAATATAGAAGAAAGATGAGCAAATTTAATCCACACTCCTCAATGCACGACTTTTCATATGTAACAGAACTCAGAAATCTATCAATACAACATCTATCCATGCAACCAGATCCTCACAAGGCAATACTCCTACCGGTTTGCATGCTGAGGCAGACAAGAAAGACATGCACCAGAAATAGTGCCTTCTTGGTGGTGGCTCCAGCCTTCTGGAACGGGCTCTCAATTGAGTTGCACTTGCTCCCCTCCCTCTCTACCTTCAAGAAGCTGCTTAAATCAAGGCTCTTTAAATAAGCTTTTACTAGCAATCTCTAATGAACCTATTGAAGCTGTCCTATTGTTTGACCATTTCCATTGCTCTTGGTGTAGTGTTTATTCTATTTTACTGATTTTGCTATTTTATTTTTTATTACTTTCCTTACTGTTTATATCTGTTTTATTGTTGTCAACCATCCAGAGTGGTGCTCTGCACTAACTGGGCAGTATAAAAGTGGAATGAATAAATACATACGCAAAAGGGGCAAACATACAGACAGCTGGACTATCACATTCAGTTTGGTCTCAAGTACAGTACTGTACTTCTGCTGGATTAAGTAAAAGTAGGCAGAGGAGCACATTTCTTTACTGATTTTGCTATTTTATTTTTTATTATTTTCCTTACTGTTCATATCTGTTTTATTGTTGTCAACCATCCAGAGTGGTGCCCTGCACAAACTGGGCAGTATAAAAGTAGAATGAATAAATACATACGCAAAAGGGGCAAACATACAGACAGCTGGACTATCACACTCAGTTTGGTCTCAAGTACAGTACTGTACTTCTGCTGGATTAAGTAAAAGTAGGCAGAGGAGCACATTTCTGGTGTGCTCCAGAGACAAGGCTAACACACATATCCTTTGAAAGTTCCAGCTTACATTCCAGAGACAAATGACTCACACACATTTCCTGTTTGTGTAATGTCCAAAGTGCCTCCAAGAAAATTAAGTAAGTTACTTTGGGAAGCTCTGCTTTAAGGATCAAAAATATTAGTGACAGTGCCAGCTTGGAGTGAATTTAGGCACAGCATAGCTGGAGTGGTTTTCCTAACAGGATGGTAGTTTTAGTGTTTTTCCCCACAGTTAACAAAGAATGCAAATCTTGAAAAACAGGTTTATCCAACATGCAAGTAGGCTGCAGAACAGTAGGTGATTTTTGCAGAGAGAGGGAAAACAGCTAAATTTATCTTATCCTAAGGCACTGCTTTAGCCATCCAAAACAATCCCTTTCTGGCCACATGGCTGCTGTTTTCTGTCAGTTTGTGTCAAAGATCAGCATGAAATGTGGTTCAAATCCACAGTTGGCCATGAAATTTATTGGAGCTGTTCAGCCAGTCACTGTCTCTCAGGGGTGATAAGAAAAAAGTGAGGAGAAAGAACTATACATGTTTCTTTGAAGTCCTTGGAGAAAAGGTGTGCACAAGTGTATTAAAATATAATAATATAGACATACCCAATGACTCCCAAAGAGAACTATCTTAGAATACAGAAGGAAACTCAGAAAAACCAATAACAGCTGTTATTGATGGGAAGAATTGCAGCGATAAAAATGATGACCTTGCCTAAACTTTTATTTCTCTTTCAAAATCTACCAATATTATTAAATTTTAAATATTTCAAAGAATTGGATCGCCTGACAACAAAATTTGTATGGAAGACTAAGAAACCAAGAATAAAACTTAAGCTATTACAGGATTTGAAAGAAAGGGGGGGGTGCAGGACTACTAAACTGATTATTGTAAGGCGTGGGCTATGACATGGATAAAAGAATAGATAACTGTGGTAAACCAAAGATTACTGAAACTAGAAGGGCATGACTTAAGCATGGGCTGGCACGCATATGTGTGGTATGGGAAATATAAGGAACAATCACACTTTACGGAACATATTGTAAGGAAAGCATTGGGTCTAGTGTGGCATAAATTTCCAGCAGCATAGTTTTGTTTTTTGAGGTGTTTGAATTTTGTTTGGCAGATAGTGTGCCCTCAACATCTACTTCAGTAGAAAGACAGAAGTTAAAAATGTTATCATCTTTAGCAAAGTGTCTTGTCAGCCAAAAGAAAAATCATAAGAACTTAATTTTTAGATTGACAATATATACCGGTACAAAAATCAAGGGAAAACTTTGTTCCATTCCTAGCTGTTAGAATTAGATCAGCTTGTCATAATCCTTTGCTTCTCTTCCACTTAAAATCAGATTTCTAATGGTGCTGAGAGGCGGATATTTTGAAATTACTTCCAGTCCATCTTTGAAATTTAAAGGGGGTGAATGGATGAAAAGCTTCAGATGGCAAATATAGAACTATCTTATTTCTTAGTTCACTTTTCTAGGCCAAACTGCTTAGGGGAAACTTGCGGAAACATTTACTAAGAGGAAGCAAGCTGCTCTATACACAGAAGCAGTGTGTGTAACTCAACAACAGTTCTGACTGAACAATATCTGAATTATTTGGAGAGTTAAAATATACCTTCTGAGAATTCGTTTAAAATAAACAAATCATACATTTAAATGTAAACCATGTTCAACAATGTTTTCAACCTATACTTTGGTTTAATATGTATTCTAGTAATTCTATTATCTGTGGTGACTATACAGTGTACACAAGTGTTTCCCCTCCATTCATTTTAGTAATAGTTTCTACCTCTGCAAAGGAATGGGACTGCAACTCCCCTGCCCATCAAAATATGTAAGAAAGCTCTCATACGTAGAGGAGCTTTTAATGATAAAAACCTCTCTAAATGGGAGAGGTATCTGTAAACCAGAGACTTTCATACACAATCTTATTTGATTGGCTACTGTAGTCTAGAGCAGTGGTCTCCAACCTTGGGCCTCCAGATGTTCTTGGACTTCAGCTCCCAGAAATCCTGGCCAGCAGATGTGGTGGTGAAGGCTTCTGGGAGTTGTAGTCCAAGAACATCTGGAGGCCCAAGGCTGGGGACCACTGGTCTAGAGGACCATTGATGTACTCAGTCAGTGGGAAAGAAATGGATTTGTGGCTCTTTGTTTTAGCCACAATTAGCACTAAGTTATTACAGGGTATGTTTTATGGAAATATTTAAAGCAGCCTGTCTGCAAGAATAGGCAGGTACGGAGAAAATAAGTATCTTCCTAAAATGTTGGGAGGCTTCTTTTAAATGTTAATGAGTATAATCTACATTGCAAAGCAATCAATCGTATCACCAAACGAAAATGGGAAACATAAGTACCATGGCATCTAAGTATGTATACAAGGGGGTCCAGATAAGTATTGAGCCTTTCCCAGAAAAAATTGAGCTATGAAGCTATAAATTGCAGGGTGTATTGGCCAATTTGTCTGTATTCAATGGTGCAAAAATCAGCTACCTATGATTTTAACTTATCTTTCATTTTCTGGTCCAAAGTGAACATGGCAGCACCTCCAGAAAAGTTCAATGTGGAAGAGCATAGGACCATAATCAAGTTCCTGTTTCTCCAAGGGAAAGGTGCAAAGCAGATCCATGATGAAATGTCACAAACTATGGGTGACAGTGGCCCTTTATATGCAACAGTTAAACATTGGGTTGTCAATTTTAAAGTTGTCACAAGTGCATTGACTTCCTGGGGGAATATGTAGAATAGTGTGGCAGTTACAGGTTCCTAGCTCAATTTTTTTTCTGGGAAAGGCTCAATACTTATCAGCCCCCCCTCGTACAGTACTTTTCCTTCTAGCCGGAAAAGATGTCCAGCAAGCAACAAGTCTGCTGTTGTGCTCCCTCTGTTGCCCAGAAAGAACACTGCATGAGTACTTTCCAGCTTGCAATGATATGTGAAACATATGCTAGGTATTCTAGCAGTGACAACTATAATTTGCAATTTGACATTTTAAAATTTGTTTTTTTGTTCCTGGACCTAAAGATGTTCAGCCTGAACCAGATCCATTTAAACATTAAATGGATCTATTCAGGCAGATCGACATGAAAATTAGATTTTAACTGAACAGAACTGAAATATTCTGAACATACAGGTTGCCTGTTTCTGTAATATAACAAAACTTAAAGAGACTTTTGCTTTTCCACAAGGTAATTCTGCCTGAGACATACGGCATCAGTTCATTTACTGCAAGCTTGTAGACATTCAGCAGACAGATATACAGTATCATCTCAGATTGATAGGAATGATGAAGGCAGACCAGCAAGTAATAAGCATGAATCTCCAACTACAGTGGTGCCTCACTTGACGATGTTAATTCGTTCCAGCAAAATCGCTGTAGAGCAAAAACGTCATAAAGCGAAATTAAAAAGCCCATTGAAATGCATTGAAAACCATTCAATGCATTCCAATGGGCTGAATACCTCAGCGTCCAGCGAAGATCCTCCATAGGGCGGCCATTTTTGGCTGCCTGTCTTGCGAAAAATGCCTCCTAAAAACAGCGGGGAGCCGTTTTGAGCAGCCGGCGGCCATTTTGAAAAACTGACGATCAGGTGTTTTGACTGTCGTAATGCGAAGAATTGGTTCCCGAAGCAGGGAACCGATCGTTGCAAAGCGAAAAAACCCCATTAATTGCGATCGCAGAAACATCGTCATGAAGTGGATTCGTCGTTATACAGGATAATCGTTAAGCAGGGCATGCCTGTACAAGCACAAACATAATGTACAACAATGCCATGATACACTATAAAGGGGATACAAATAGTTTAAGTGTGCACATGAAAAAAAGGCTTAAAATATCTTACTAGCACATTAAATGTACAATGTTGCTAGTACCTTGTTAAAGTTAGATGGGTGTCAACTTACTTCGTTTGTGTGTCTGCTTAGAGAAACCCATACAAGACATTTTTAAGATTCCCAAATAGGATGTGAGATGAATTAAGTGTACATATAGTTGAGGTAGGAGTTTAATTTTGCTGCAACTTTGGATTGTCAAGTCAAACTGGCTTTCAGAAATACACTTACCTGATTGGAGAAGACAGCCATATCTGTTTGTTTGGTGTCTGTTTATTGATTACGTAAGTCCCCATGTTTCCTCCCAGTTTAACTGTCAATACTCCACTCTACAGAATAAAAGAGGAACAAAATATTTGTTCAGCGTTATGAAGGAAAATCCCAATTTTTGCAAATGGAAAATAATAATCAGGATTTTATGTATAAAATACAGATATCAGAAATTATCAAATTACATATACATTGTTCAAATAAGTACAAATAATTTAGGATTAATTCCCATTCAAACCAAATGACTTTATATAGATTTCAAGGTGCTATGCAAAGATAAACAGCAGAGTCCTCCTATATGATAACTAAACATTACTATAAGTGGCCTTTCTGGAAACTTCATGCTCATCGTGTGTCTTCAGTTGCCTCTTAGGAATCTACAGTCTGTAAGTAATTTTTACACATTGTTGACCATTTGCTTTCAATTGCCTTTTAGGAATCTCCTCTGCTGACAGGGATGGGATTGTTTGGGCTTTCAATTACAAGATTACAACACTCATCTTCCCTCTCTCTGGGGTGTGCCAACTCAGGCTGATGGGAGCCGCAGAAGGTCACATATCCTCCACTTTTGCTATAACTGGCTCTTGTTATTGATCCTCAACAGCTGATGATTCTCCTTATTAACTCGCATTCAACCTTAGAATATGTCGTTCATATGTGGAAAATTATGTCCATATTGGGATGGGGAGCCTGTGGACCTGCAGATGTTGTCCAAGTCCATCTCTCAACTGCCCTAACTAGCATTGCTAATTGTCAGAGCCAGTGCGAGGTGCAGTCTAACAATATATGGAGAGGTGGTTCCTCATGCCTACTCAAGGTAAATCTTAATCATCCCCAATTTACTATGGGGAATTTCAAATCTATGTGTCTCTGACAAAGTGTATGTTAAGTGACATCTCAGCAATATTTTATGTTTTAAACAGGTAGAGATTTATTACAGTTTGTGTATGCATATTTCAAAGATAATCTCTTGAAACATTTATTTTCCTATCACCTTGTTTAAGCAGCTATCACTTTTATATTCCTGTGTATATATTTTATATTCCTTCAAAATTTCAAGGATTACATTTTTAAATGGAAATTCAGAGAAAACAAAGCTAAACTAGTGCTCATAGAGTCACTCATAGGTTAACTAACTATAAAAACCAAATCCCAGACCCAGCTCAATGCAGTGGCTACACAAAGAGATTACTCAGTTCCAGCCTAAGCAGCTGGATATTGTTTTGAAAATAGAATGGTTTCCTTCCTGCTTCCTTTAGGGTTAAAAAGAAAGAAAAATATTGACTGGTATTATATAACAGATACAAGTTTTAGCCAAAAACCTAAGTATTTGTTAAATATCGGCACAGTATATATGCTGTCCATTACTACTACTACTACTACTACTACTACTACTACTACTACTACTACTACTACTACTACTACTACTACTACTACCATCTTTCTCCTTAAAAAAGACCCAAGCCAGCTTACATAATTAAAATACATTATCATGTAATCTTCACATAGTCCCTTGCTTTAGAATAAGATGTCCCCATCAAATGGGACTTGCTTCATAATAAAGATGCACATTGTCAGACAACACCTTATGTGTTCATCTGTAGAAGTGAAGATTACTATGTGCTCTGCACTTGAAGCAAAAATAAAAAGGGTCCCGTCAGTGAATCCATTAACTCTAGTGTCTAAAACAGTGATGGTGAATCTATGGCACAGCTGGCACACAGAACCTTCTCTGCGGGCACGGTAGCCATAAATCACTGGATTGTTCCTCCCCCCCCCGCCCCGCAGCCAAACCTGAGGCGGCGGCTGCAGCAGCAGTGCTGGCACTTCGGCAGGTGGCAGGCCAGGATACGGAGCAGCTGGGAGTGGATCTGGAGTGGGGTCTCGAGGCACTTCTGTGCCCGGGATTCTCCCTTCCACCGCCACTTCCACCGCTGCCCGCTGTTGTTGTTGTTTTTCAGTTTGGGCACGCAAGCCAAAAAAGGTTCGCCATCACTGGTCTAAAATAATCTAGCTGTACATACTGGCTAGGCAACCCAGTGTTGAAAAAAAGGTGTAGTTCTTTAATCAAGCTCTGAAAGAAGCTTTTAAGCTATTAAGCATAAGTAATGCTATTTCACACACACACCCTGAAGCCTGTAACTAGACACCCATATTTTCTTAAGACCTGGAAAAGGCTCATGGAGAAGGATTGAAATAGGCTTTCACTGGAAAGTCACACTACCTCCTGTGAAAATATTTCAATTTTTAATTAATTTTATTTTAAAGAACATTTGTATATTCACAGGTCAGGTGTTTTTAGGAGCCCACCTTGGAGATCCTTTGCCCATTTCTGCTGTATGGAGGCATAACCTATCATGCTTTTTCCTATGACCATCTTGCAAAAAAAGTAAGGTTTAGAACCAGATAAAACAAGGATTTGATCATATCATACGATATGGCGTTTGGCTGAGTCAGATATTCTGCATATATCCATATGCTGAGACTAGGCAACTTTTACAAGAAAATTAATATCTGCAGGTTTCTCATTTTATATCAGATACATGAGAAACAGTCTTTGCTCTATGTTTGTTTTAACAAAGCAAAGTAAGCTCCCAGGAATTGTATCAGCACATTTATGCCTTGACTTATCTAAATCATTCCACTGATACGTAACATATGCTATTTTGGCTGTGTGGGTATCAGTGATTCCTACTGAAAGGATTAAATTTTAAAGGAGATTTTATTTCCAGCACAAAAATGAAGGTTCATTAGAAACTATGAAAAATTAAATGGTGCCTTACTTGCTTCATCAATTTTCCAAATATGCCATCTTGTGGCCTTAAAGTGCAGCTAGCTCCTAATAATGTTTCTTAAATTAGAAGGAATAGACATTCCATGTTTCCTTCCTCAGCAGACTGGCAAGATAAATGATGGAAGAAGCAGTAGGAAAACACAGGAAGGTTATAGGTAGATTTACTTTTATGGAATTATCCAGTGAAAAACTGCATGACTATATAAAAAGGGTGTTATATGTCTTACTGATTAGACTTTCTGAAACTGGCGATCACAATCACATTTGCACTGATGTACGTAATGGATAAGGGTAGCAAAGTTCTATGTTTCACAATGATGCAGCCTGGAGGCAAGTGACATATTACATATTGTCAAGTTGATTCTGTGTTATGATTACTCTTTCTAGGGTTTTCTTTGGTAGGTAGCACTCAGAGACAGTTTACCATTCCTTCTTCTGGAGGCATCCTGGGATTGTCCAGCTTGCTCAAAGCTGCACAGACTAGTTCTCCTCTCAGGAGATAAGAGATACAATGGGGAACGGAACTCCTGACCTCTAGATCCACAGCCAGATACCAAATTGAACCAGCGATCCACTCAGCTACAATAATTATGTGGCCTTAAGCTGATTATAACTCATGGTGACCCCTTCCAGGGTTTTGTAGGTACACTAAGAAATGGTTTAACATTCCTTGGGGGCGGGTGGGGGTGTGATGGTGACCCCTTCCAGGGTTTTCTAGGTACACTTAGAAATGGTTTAACATTCCTTGGGCGGCAGGTGGGGGATGCTCTGGGACAGCACAGCTTGCCCACAGTCACAGTCTGGCTTTTTCTCTACAGGACACAATGGGGAAATCACACTCACAAGCCCTAGTTCTGCAGCTGGGTGCTCTGATTCACACATCTGGGGTGGGGGGAGGTGAGTGAGACAAAGCATACAATTTGAGTTAAGTGAATGTTCAGAATCTAGCAATGGTAAAGAAGATAGGTGCTCATTACACAACACGGTATGTCAGCAGCAAGTCTGAAAGATGTGTATGCATTCACACACAGAATCACAAAACTTGTAAAATGCTGCCATAATTTGTAAATCAGGAAGAGTAGTCTGATTGCCATGCTTACTGGCTACACAAAATAATAATGATAATTGCCTTTGAAGCACTTGAAAGCAGAAGTGCTTTCTTGTGCTTGGGTTAAGAAGAAAAAAGTGCCAATAAGCATATTTTAATTTTTTTAAAAAAATGTAAAATACCCCAGAGGACACATCATAATCTTCAGGAGTAAAAGACTTGTCTGGAAGATCATCAAAGAAATCCATTAATAACTCCAGAGTTTCTTCAGCAAGTTTTTCATATGTAGTTTCATCTAATGAGCTGAAAAAGACATGTAAATAAAGACTCACTCAGATTTTGTCCCCTACTGATGTACCAACAAAGACCCCAGTAGCACCTTCAAGGCTAACAAAAGTTATTTGGTACAGTATAAGCTTTTGTGGAATGTAGTAACACTGAGTAACTGGGTAAAAAGTCAGGCTAAGGTAAAATTATCTGTCATCAGTGCACTGGACAAGAAAAAAACAAGGCCTATGAAGTTGAGAGATTTTGTTCAGCTGAGATTTCAGTTTACCACATATTGCTGAGCAATTTCTATGGATTATAACTGAGTTATATAATAATATATAATAATAAAGTTAGTAACAAAATGCATTCTAAACAAGGTAGATCGTTGTGGCTTTTACCCCGTGGCCCCTGCTTGTTTCACCAACCCGAGCTCACGAAGGTATCCCAACACACCCTTTAACACGCTGCCACCTGTTGATCTCCTGAATAAAATGCAAATCTTCGGTGAAAGAGAACCAGATGTCTAGATCAGTCTGTTCAGCCACAGTTATCAGAAGGCAGAGTCCAAAATATGTCAGCTTACACTCAAAAGAAATCATTATTCTCACACTAAGACTGTGTGCCTACATTTTCTCCACCTGAATCTAAATCAAGCTGCATTTTACCTGTGCTTTCAGTCACTTCTCAAATTAACTTATACCTTAATACTGTAGTAAGGGATGAAACACAGAAAGAATAGAAAAGTGAAAAAACTTTAAACTCCTCCCCATTGCTCAATCTCTCCTTTAAAATAAAGGAAGACCATGCTTTCATACAGATATAATCCAGATATAAAGTGACTCTTTACTTTGATGTTTCCTTTCTCCCGAAGGTGGTCTCCAACTTCCACCTCAGCCAACCCATCATACTACCGTGCTTCTTCAAATCTCCTTCCTCGTCCCTGGAACCTATGCTCCATAACCTCGATGTCAGATGTACTCTGGCCTTCTATGTCGAAAGGACAGAAACTTTCAGAAAGTCCAATAAACTTTTTTCTTGCTTTCATGGCCCAAACAAAGGGGCCACAGCCTATTCTTAATCCATAGCACGCTGGATTGTACAGACTATTTCCCTGGCTTACAACTTGTCGGGGAAATCCCCTCCAGAACATTTGACAGCTCATTCCACCAGGGCAGTCCACCTCTACTGCCTTTTAATGTTGCACCGAAGTTCCTGACATCTGTCGTGCTGCTACATGGTTCACACCGTCCATGTTTGTCAAACACTACTGGCTGGATGTCAGAGTACGCCAAGATGCTGCATTTGGCAGAGCTGTCCTGTCATCCTTCTTGCCGTGACGACCCACCAAGTGCAGCTTGCTAGTCACCCATATGTGTGCATTCACAGAGGCCA